GCATAGTGTACACGCACCTTTTTTTTTTTTTGTACCATACTTCATATGCCTTTCTCAGCATCTTTAAGCAAGACAGAACAAGGCAACAATGCCTTGAGGTGGAGAGGGGTGGCAAGAGAGAAGGAAAAAAGGAAAAAAAAGACAAAGAGCTCAAATTGAAGACTGGATGGAAATGTAGTAAGGCACCATCAAGAAATGAAGACAGCTTCTTTCCTAAGCCTGACCTCCTATGGTGAGTACTAAAATAATGTACACCCTCAATGCAAATTGCCAGGACTAATACTTGTCAAGAGTGAAAACAACCCTAGAATATATACTCATAGAATCATAGAATCTTTTAGGTTGGAAGAGACCTCCAAGATCACCAAGTCCAACCATTGAGCCATTAGGGCTCTAAAGTCCTCTGCTAAAACAGATCAGAATCTGTCAGGGTTGGAAGGGACCACAAGGGTCACCCAGTTCCAACCCCTCTGCCATGAGCAGGGACACCTCCCACTAGATCTGGCTGTCTAGAGCCTCATCCAGCCTGGCCTTAAAGACCCCCAGGGATGGGGCCTCAACCACCTCCCTGGGCAACCCATTCCAGGGGCTTTCTGGCCTGCAGGTGCACACTGCTGGCTCATGTTGAGCTTCTCATCCACCAGCACCCCCAAGTCCCTCTCCTCAGGGCTGCTCTCCAGCCAGTCCCTGCCCAGCCTGTATTGGTGCCTGGGATTGCCTCGACCCAGATGCAGGACCTTGCACTTGGCCTTGTTGAACCTCATGAGGTTGGCTTGTGCCCACCCCTCCAGCCTGTCCAGGTCCCTCTGGATGGCCTCCCTTCCCTCCAGCGTGCTGGCTGTATCAAACAGCTTGGTGTCAGCAAACTTGCTGAGGGTGCACTCAGTGCCACTGTCCATGTCCCCGACAGAGATGTTAAACAGGACTGGTCCCAGCACTGATCCCTGAGGGACTCCACTTGTCACTGGCCTCCACTGGGACATGGAGCCATTGACAGCCACTCTTTGGGTGCGGCCATCAAGCCAGTTCTTTATCCATCTAGTGGTCCACCCATCAAACCCATGTTTCACCAGTTTGGAGACAAGGATGTCGTGGGGCACAGAGTCAAAGGCTTTGCTCAGGTCCAGGTAAATGACATCAGTTGCTCGCCCCTCATCTGTTAATGTTGTGACCTTATCAAAGAAGGCCACCAGGTTTGTCAGGCATGATTTGCCCGTGGTGAAGCCATGCTGACTGTACCCAATCACCTCTTCACTAGCCTTCTGTCTCAGCAGTGCCTCCAGGAGGATCTGCTCCATGACCTTACCGGGCACAGAGGTGAGACTGACTGGCCTATAGTTCCCTGGTTCTTCCTTCTTACCCTTTTTGGAAATGGGAGTCATAAGAAGTCACCTTCAGCCAAAAGGAGAACCTTAGTGTCCAGGAAAGCTGACACATTCCAGCTTTAGTTTTCTGAAAACAGAGCATTTATGTCAGATTTTACTATGTACAACACCATTTGTGTAGTCTTACAGAAGTTCTGAACTACTCAGAATTTTGTAATCCGTTGGCTTATGCCTACAAAGTTCTCTCTTTATTTAATATATGCTAATCTTACCATTAACTTAAGAAACTGAAGCCAACAAGCAGGTGAGGTTTCTGGGCTTGCTTTTTAAATGTGATAAGTAGTATGATTTCAAGAAGGCAACTTTATCCAGTCTTTCAGCTGTGTTCCTATGACAAGGACACATCATGTCTAGGTAACGGCATGTCTAGGCACATACTTATTTGGCTACTCAAAGCCCTTATACTTTGAGACCATCTTCAAATCCCTTTATTCTTTGGGAATATTTTTTGAATTGCTGGGGAAAAAGGCATGTTATCATGTTACATTAAGAGGGTGAAAATTAACACACGAGGCAAAGACACTGAAAAAATGATCTACTGTTTAAAGCCTACCCTTATGCAACCCTATTGGGACTGAATAGAAAGACAGCAGTTCCGCTGGCTGTACTTCCCACTCCCTGCCCCCATTTTCACAACACAAATTACACATCTGTCTGTAAATATTTGTCTGTAAATCATGTTTGTCCAGAGCACAAACAAAACTAGCCTCTTTAAAAAAATTACTCGAAGATCTCAAAAATGAACATTTCAGCAATTTTTCATCCAAGCTTTTTTCAACCCTAAAATCCTGTTTTGGTGTCTGTTACAATATTCACATGATGAAACGACTGCCTGTTTGACTGTAGGATTTTGTTTTCAAAACAACAAAAAATTCAAATTGCATGTTCTGCAGGGAAAAATTCAGTTTACAAAGAGCAAGTGAACTTCACAAAAATTCAACACGTTAAATTATAATGGAGAACACTTGAATATTTGCAACTGTGAACATAAAGAAAACTGTTTCACTCCAAACCACAAATGACCCACTTTAAAGTGCTAAATGATACAAAAGGAAAAGTAACTTTTTATGATCACAAAACACATCTCTTCCCATAGTAAATACTTTTTACTTCCCATATATTAACTGGTTAAGATTTAGCCAGACAAAAAAGGTAAGAAGGATAGTGAACTCTAGTCAATTAGCCAGCTTATTTTTTCTAGTATTTATTTATGCAATGAGCTTTTATTCATTCTTAAAATGATTAATGGGGAGAGAAACATTTAAATTATTACTGGATCTACTTAGTAACAACAGTCAGCTTACAAAGAAGCACATCAGGGAAAGGAAAGTAGTCTTGTAAAACTTAATTCCACTTCAAATAAATTAAGCAAATTCAATTAAGCAAAAGAGCTTAAAAGTCTGCTGAGACTACTTTCAAAAAGCAGATGCTGCCAACCTCATCCAAAGCAAATTGCTCAAAGGTGCATGTTAAATGAGGCTGCTAAGAAAACCACAACTGTTTCTGTGATAATATGATGCATTATTTTAACATAATGGGTCTGGTTTTACAAATAAAGACTATACTAAGCATATAAATTACTTTATTACAGTATCATGTCTATTAAATACATAATAGTTTTGAAGTGCAAAAATTACCTGTAATATATTTACTACATAAAGATTAACAAAAATAATGCAGCATTTGGCAGTGCAAAGACATATGCAGTGTTCTAAAGCACCCCTTTGCAAAAATTATTTTAATGAAATTACTTTTAGTTTAACAGGCTCTGAAGATGATTAAAAATAAATGTCCCAAAATTCCACACGAAGCCTTTTTCAAAAAATCCAAACTATGCATAAATGCTGTTAAAAATCACTATCATGAATGGAAAACTATTGTAGAAAATTAATTATAAGGTGATCAAAATCACAGCTATTGCCAAGAATCTTTCCTTCTGTAAAGGTATTCAAAGGTCTTAAGTGTTAAGGAATTAAATGAAAACTTGTGATTTATGTTGTTCTCAAAAATATAATATGACCATTTCCTCCTAATCAAAGTTTTATTTATTACCTCAGGTAAGACTTGATCTAGTAAACAAACCATATGTTTACAAATAGTTTTACCTAGGAAGAGTTAAATATAAAATCATGCTTTTAAAAAAACAACCCCCTCCCCCAAAACAACAAAACAATCAAAGGGCTATACATCCAGATTGTTGTGTTGTTTTGTTTTGTTTTAAATAAATATTCAGGACTACATTCTGAAGGACATAAAAATAAACCTGAAAAGAAATCTAAACTGCAAACTGAAATTAATAACTTGGTAAACAAGAAACCTCATCCACAATATAATTTTATTTATCTTAAATTTATAATTGCTTCCCTAAGAACAAAACAAATCTTATTTTCAGACATGAGAACAGTTGTTAGCATGAACATTGGAGTACAAATCTTTAGCAGCAGGTTTTAATTTTGCCATGCATTCCTTTTTTTAAGCACAAATTTCCACTGATGTATATTATTTTCTTAGTATTTTGACTTGACACTCAACATAGTGTTGACACTCAACTTAGTGGTTCTCCTAAATGTATATTAACAGTGGTTAGCAAAAGTCACAACTTCATTCAACCAATCACTGATTCCATGTCTTCTTAACACTTCTGACAAAGTATTTGCTGATGCTTTCAAAATTTTAAGCTTTGTTCAAATAAAAAAGGAAACAAAATGAAATTTACAAAAGCTAAATTATTATTAAGGAAAACTCAGTGTGCTTGAATTATTGAAACAAGATTTATCAAAACCATTTTGTCATTAAAGGACTCTAGTCAATTAGCATAACGGTTCCAGTAACCCCCATGTTTTTCAGGCATACCAAGGTGCAGAATGGTGCTTTTGGAAAGCCTGCCAAGCATTTATGTAGGTTAGATCCTTCACTGCTTCACTAGCAATTAGGCGTCGAGTATTGGCTTTCTTCTTTTTTATTTTCTTCCTCAGTTTTTTTTTTTTTTTGGGGGGGGGCAGCATTTGGTGGTGGTTTTTTTTTGGGGGGGAATGGGGAAGAATGGCAGGGAGGGCATCTAAAGTTGATCAGGTGAATGAATCTAACTTGAACACCATCTAAATCTCTCTGCTTCTGCAAATAAGACTAAAACCAAAAATTAAAGCAAAATAGTTTCTCTGCAACAGAATCTGAACACGTATGTGATAGTAGGTAAATGTCAAAATAAGCTTCGCTTTGAAGTCTACAGATACAGCACCATGATCATCTTCTGTTTATAAATCTGGATTCCCTTTTGTTTTTGCATTCATTTAGAAAACAGCATTGTAACTAAAATGCAAAGAAGCCTCATGTATACAGTATTTGAAATTTTAAACATCTTCCAGCAAGTCTACACATAACACTGTCTGCCATGATTCCAAATTTAATTCTCAAGAGGTTTATTTTTAAAAAGGTATTCAAGTTCATAATCACTAAACCAGCACTTAATAAAATTTTTATCCACTGTATAGGAATGTATTTTCAAGTAAAAGAAAAAGAATCATTTCCTAGAACTACTGCCAAGAGAAACCGAGAATAAAATAGATTTCTTTTAAGGCAGAAGTTCAATTATACACCAGATTAAAAGCCACCACAATAATAACTATAACTAACTTGTTCAGCATTTAAAAATTTGCATTCATAACTAATAACTCCTATGCCAGCTAGAACACTACTGATGTTTCAGGAAGCCCACTGGAGATATGTTATGGTTATCCTTAGTAGGTAAAGCTATGCCAGAGTAAAGTCAACTTACTCACTACTTTTTAATGATTAAACAAACCATGATTATTTATGTTAGTTAGTTATATAAATTATTTAGAAAGAGGAAGTATGAAATATTGACAATGACAAAACAGATTTTAAAAAGCTATCATTGAATAAGTTAGAATACATATTCAGAGGAATTTCAATGCTTAAAACCAGATTCACATATGTTCATCCAGTTGAAAATTAGTGTATTAAAAAAAGTTAAGAAAATACTTTGTGTCTCAGTTCCACTGCACTTGATTCAAGTACAGTTTCGGGGTAGGCTGATATAAATTAAACATGGTCACTGCCTCAGCAGCCAGAAGTACAGAAAAATGTACATGTTCACAGGATAAACAGAAGTCTCTTCTTTTGTGTAAAAAAAAAAAAAAAAAAAGAGAAGCTATCTCACTCCAATACGGGAGGTCATCCACTCCAAACCTTGGCATAATCTGAAAGATAACAGATGTTATATTGATATTAGTTCCATTCCAACATCTTTGAAGTATTCTGTACTTGGTTTTATCCTTAAAAACATCTACTTAAAAAAACAGCTGGCATTTAGACTGAAATGTGAACAGAGTAAACTGTTTTAAACAAAGTCAACTTAGACTCTAACTACAAGAAGATGGAAAAGCATGATTTTTTTTGAAGTCTGGTACTCCCTCAATTTTTTTTCCTTGTAACTCTAAAAGACACTATTCTTAACGTGCTTACTCACAGATATATGGAACCAAGTAAGTTTTTCTTTTTGTACAGCTGTCCTATAAAAGACTGCTTACTTGAAAGCCAGACCTTCACCTACTAATACTAAAAGACAAAGGACAGGTACACAGACTGAATTGGTTCATGAAAAGGCAGTGTATCAAGAATTCCAAAATGCTATTACAAAATTAAAAATATGTTTATATTCAACAGCAACAAGCAAGCTTCTAATCTGCTAACTCACTCAATTTGCATCTCTATTTAAAACCTTTCCATTACAGAAGATAGGCTTTCCTTTTCTAGGGATTAGTTACCTAGTTTATGTCAGGTATGGTATGTCCTGACTTAGCTGTCCAAGAGGGCTAGCTTCATTCACATGGGGCCAAACTCCCTACAGTTCTGCCAGATCTTCCAAAGAAAGATTTGGGTCAGCAACCTAACTCTAGGAATTTTCTTGAGTTGGTCTCATTACTGCCACAGTTTTAAGTATTCTAATTACTTTTCCAATTACCAATCACTCTGCAAGATGTATCCATTACACCAGAAACCACTTCACCCTAGACATGGGGAAGATGCTTTCATTTCCCAAACAGTTGGATTCACTATTTTTAATGTCAGAAGATCACATTATAAAGGTTGTACTACACAACTGAAAAAAACCCTATTACACATTAGAAGACTGCTTTCAGAATCAAGATGAAAAATTGGCACAGTTCAAGCCCTGTAAGCAAGACACTACTCAACTTGTTACAAGCACCTAAAAATGTTTGTAGACCTTTATAGACAGAGGATCTAAGGAATGCACAGCTTTCCATTTTAGTACTGGCTGGCATAAGGTATACAAAATTTGCTACATCAGTCAGACATAAAAGGTTTAATATTGGTAACAGTTTGTTTATGCCAGATTACTTATCTTTTCATCAAGACTAAGTTTGAATGCTTACCAAAAGAAAAAAAAAAAAAAAAAAAAAACCCCACCATGCCCTTAGAAGCTTACAGCAGATTGGAATATAAAGGCAGATGACAGTAGCTTATTTCTTCAACTACACAAAGACAGAGAATGAGAGGGTAGCACACAGTAAATAATTATGCCAACAGCTAGATATTTAGATGGCAAGGGGTGTTGGGTCTGGGGGATGGTTTTGTGTGTGTGTGTGTTATGGTAAAAAACAAAACCAAAACCAAACAACAAGTGGAAAGACTTTTATAGAAATTTGCAGTTTGACCTATTAAAAAAAACCCACAAAGGTTCAATTCAATGAAGAAAAGGAAAAATTAAAAATATTCCTCTGACTGCAAAGAACAGAAAATATGTTCTTTTGGGAATCTACATTGCTGTCAATAGGTTTCTAAAACAGTATTCTCATTTACCACATATTACTGTACTAAGCAGTAAGCATTTACCCTTCTCCTGTCAAGGCACAGCAGGACTGGATGTGCCATGCGTGATCCTTTATGGAGCTCAGGGTGAGGTATGCAGATATCTCAGCAGCTGTCATGCAACCTTTCATGTCCTGCTTGTTCGCAAAGATGAGAACTGCGGCCTTGCGTAAATCCTGCAAATCATTTAGAGGATTTGTACTAGTTATTGTAAAGAAGTAAAGGGCTATTGAGCTAACTGAAGCTCTTAGAAGAGCTGTATTCAGGCTAATCTACAATTACACAGCATTACAAAGTTTTAACAAACTTACTACATTAAGAATTAATTACATTAAGACTGAAGAAAACATTATTCAGAAGTATTAATCACAGAGAATCAAACTATGATGTCTTATATGACTATCCCTTTGGTGTTGGCCACATGTTCATATACTAACTAGAAAAAGTCTTGTTAAAACACATTTCATAAAGCTTCCAACCATCCAGACAGCAGAAATATCACTGGATAAACTTTCCAAACTCTTACATTAGATAACACTCAAATAGAAAAGCCTACCAGATATCATTTCCTGGAAATTACTTTCACCTTCATTAAACATGTTCTGTAGTGATTAAAGCAGTAGCAATTTAAGAATGCTATCAAAACTCTTCAAAATTTCATCTGTTGTTCCAAAAAGAGAGCTCTAATAATGCTGCAGCAGCTTTAGTAAAAACAGAAACTAAAAAAAAAAAAAAACCTGTTGTTGTGTTTCTGTGTGGAAATTAGGATTATTACATACAGCAATGAAACAAGAACTGGGATGTAAGGTTTCAGGAGTGCAGATGGGTAAACAAATACTCCAGAAGCTGACAGTTGTAATTACAAAGTGCTGACACTTATATGTATATTAAATTTTGAGACTAATTCTCCATCAAGAGAAAAAAAAAAACCAAACCTTTGTAGCCCAAAGTTGAAAATTCAATCCTAAAAGTTTTTCAGTCTAAGCCTACTGACAGTTTTTAAGAGATGGTAAATCTCATAAGAGTTTATAACACTGGAAATGAATAAATTATAGGGGAAAATTCCACCACAAAATCATCTTTCCTCTTTTTTTTGGTAATATATTTCCTCCTTCCTACCAGACCCAAACTACAGTAATATCAGCTATAAAGTAAAAACCTTACTCATCTGAAACAATGCAAATCTCTCAGAGAAACGATCTCCACAGTTACCTGCATTGTATTAAATCCTTTTCCTTCAAAAATGGAGACATTTATATTTAAAATAATGCTAATGTAGCTCAAGAGTAATCACAGAAGGTTTTAATGTACTTTGGCTAATCCAACCTAGATTAATTTAAGATGTTTGAGGGAGCTGACCCAGTGTCAAACAGTCCTCATATAGTAACAAAACAATTCAGAAGGAAACTGAACTGAAAATAATTTATCCATAATATTAGATAAGCTTTTTAATTTTAAGAAGCAGCATTAAAACAAATGAGAAAAACAACTGTCTACTTTCTAAAATACAAACCTGAAAAATGTCTTGAAATTTTAAACATTTAAGTGAAAGAAGAGAGTTAGGTAATGGAGAACAGTAATACTCAGATACATTAATATGAAGCTTAAGATTGTTACAAGTTCAACATTTGCAAAGAGTCATTTGATTACAATCAAGGAAGCCTTATAAGAAAAGTTCTCCTTAATAATTTTCCTGTTTATAATTTATATAGTTTTAAAAGGTGACCAACATGCATGCACATTTAGGCTCAGAATTTTTTCATGACAGAATAATTTTTGCTAACGTATGAAGCATGTAATGTTATTTGATTGTTAACAACAAAAGAAAACCATTATTCCAACTCCCCACCATACCTCATGAGCCAGCATTCTATAAAGTTCTTCTTTTGTTATAGAAAGTCGCTCTCTATCAATGCTGTCAACAACAAAAATGATGAACTAGGAAAAAAACCACAATAGTACAGTATGTAAGTACAAAGTATAAATGACAGCACGCATGTTTCCAAGAGGTCACTAGCACAAGTCTTCCTATAAGAAACATAAGACTTTGGGAGCACACTAGAAAATAAAACAAGTTTATTTTGTAGCCTTTTGAGGAAAGGCCTCAAAAGAGCCTAGAGCCCTGGGAATCATACACGAAGATTACAGTTAAAAAAATGTAAATATTGTGCTTGTACATTTCAGCACTGCTATTAAGTGGCTTTCACACCCTACATCAAAAGCAAAATAGTTATGTAGGTACCAAAATCACCTACAGATAGTGGATTATATTTAAAATATGGATGACAAACTTGCTACACAGTTATCAATAAAACAGCTATTAATGTCAACTATTACTTGCATACTCAGGAAATTATAAAATTCAAAATTAAGTTCTCTGTTTTGAAAGAAGCATTTTTAGGAACTCAGCACGATCTTACTAACGAGGCTTAAGAAGCGTTACTTCAAAGTAGTATATCAGACCTCAGAAAGCTATCTATCTGTCAGGCTTAGCATTATGTTGTTGTGCAACATCATCTTAACCTTTGTAACACAAAGGGCCTGTGCAGTTGGATCACACTTACATCTGTTCAGTCCTCCACCTAGACACTTAGAGAAGGCTAAAGCAGTTGTTTTACCCTTGCTGTTCTTGGCAGGCACATTATTCTCATGGTCATGCACTTGTGAATCCTGAGACACTGCTAGGTCTCGTACATCAGGTCTCCCATGTGAGGCAATGGTCACTGGTATGAAAATTACTCTTTTACTCCACTCTTCCTGCCCCTTGTTTTGTACCTTCTATTTTATACCCTTATACTGGAGAGGAAAAATACATGGCCTTACACAGTAGGTAATACTCAAGTAAATGCTTGTAAGCATAGCTTAATAGTATGTGTACACAAACCAGAGCAACTGACCAGTGTTCAACACTTGCCCTGCCCAGAGCGTGCTCCAAGCAGCACTACGGTGTCATAGATGGGAACAATAAGTAGGGAGATCAAGTACGTCCAGGTGAAAACCATACAGATACTATTAAAACAACCAACCAACGCAAGCATTACAGAGAACACACGCTGCACTGTAGAGGAAACCAAAGAGATGATGTTCACCTGAGAGACTCCATCACTTCAATTCCTAGATGGGAATACCTTTCAATCCCATTCCTCTTTTACCACAGCTCTCTTTGTTTGCCCCCACTCCCAATAACTTAACCATGAGAGCTCCCTCCGGATTCCTCTTCCCCCAGATCTTTTGTCTGTTAGCCCATCTCAACATCCTTTCTGTAAGAATACTGACTCTTGAATGACTCTAATTCTGCCATCTCTTAGGATGGCAGAATTAGCCATGTCAAGTTGAAACTAATTAGGACAGATACCCACTGAAAAGCTTATCTGTGGGCTGTTCACATTACTCCAAAGATGGTTTAGATTGGCTCAATTTACAGATAAGGAAAGAGAAAAGAAAGATAGTAACAAAAAAGGAGGATTAGAAATCACTGCAGTAATTGCCCAACATATGCTCTAAATCACTTTGCCTTATAAAATTAAGGGGGTTCATTACCTGCTGAAAATGACCTCAAAGTATGAAGAACTAAGTCAATTTAATGCTGCTGTGACTTTGAGATGTGACTAGCAAATGAGGAGGAACAGCAAAAGAATTATTTATATCAGAGAAGCCAGGATTAGCATACTAAACAGACCCCTTTTCTTTCTCAACTGTTTCTAGCACACAAAGCTTCTAAGTAAAGGGGAAGTTCTTCTGTGCAAGTGCTAGCAAGAACTGGGTTTCAAACACTTACTAGTCAAAACATGATGAAGAACATCCTAAAAGGATCAAAAAAATAATACATGTATTTCCCCAAATTCCAAAATCAAAGATTCTCATTGGACAAATGTCCAGAAGTTATTTTACCAGATAATTCTGGCAGAAGTTTTCACCCTCATGTCTATATGACTTAGATGTAGCTATACTTTCCTAGATAAAATTAAAAATAATTTTAAAAAACTCAAGGTGACAGTTGAGATATCATCACCAGGCTTTCAGTACATAAAAAGTTTTTGAATACATGGGGTGGATCACTCGAATCTCCCCCTCTCAAAGGGGAGCACAGGACAGAAAACTTCATTTTACAGGAGGGACAGAATGCTTATAAAATAACTACAAGAGACCTCTGCTTTTAGTAGCAATAGTAAGAAATGAAGTCTAAAATCTTTTACATCAATGTAGAAGTCTCAAAGTGAGGCTACGGAAATTTTATGTGCATTGATAACATTTTGACATGAAAAAACAAACCCTCAAAAGAACTGTTGCCAGGAATTCCTCTTTCCAGCAATGGCAGCTTTACCTCATGAGTACTGCACAGCTAGACTTTCCTTTATCCTTTGGATAAAAAAGTCACAAGCTGATAAGCTTTTTAAATACCACTGCCTTGAGACAGTTTCATTCTTTATCCTTAATTACCATTACCTCAAAAACATTTCAGACCAGATGTATAGAAGTTTGGTTAAACACTGCAAATCTGTGCTGAATTTGCCAAGTACACAGCAATATTTTCTTTTTAATCTACTTGAAAAAAAAAACCATGCAAACAGCCTGTTAGGTCTGAAATATATTTTGATATAATTTGATTGTCTATGAAAAAAAGTCTAACTTCATGGTTTATACCACAGATCAAACAACATTAAAGCATACAAGAAAAAATACTTCAAATACTGCAAGAAAACTGGCTGCATTGGTACCTTAGCCACCTTACACTTTCAGAGTTTCTTCTTTCTCAAAAAGATTTAGAACCAATAGTTGCAATCTTCATAAAGTCCACCAGTATTCCTAATAAATAAATAAATGTAATTTCAAACCAACTTATTGAATTTGCAGACTTTGAAGTAGCACCACATACCTCTGTGTTTGAATAATAAGTATTCCATGATGATCGTAATGATTCTTGTCCTCCAATATCCCACATTAAGAAATGAGTGTTTCTCACCACTATTTCTTCTACATTGCTTCCTATGGTTGGAGAAGTATGAACCACTTCATTCATTAAGCTAAAGGAAACAATATCACACCATAAAGACCAGCCAGTAAAATCCACAAGGCTTGTCACAGCTCACTTACAGCAAACGTAGAAAAAGTAAATGTGTAACTGATAATAAAAATATTAAAAAAACTAGACATTTTTTAAAAAAGTTATACATTTCAAGTTTTTAGAAAACAAAGATTTAAGAGCAGCTCTTCAGGAAACAGGTAAATTCAATCTGAATTTGGACTAAAAACCGTGGTTGATGATGTTCTACTGTACTTTGAAGCAGAGATTGTAGACATGCTTAAAGACATCAGGAATGAAAAATAAGCACATAAAAGGCTTACAACAATGGATAAGCATCTGCGTTTTAAGAGGCTTCTTTTTTCAAAGGACACTTTAACAGATACTTAAAATGCACTTGTTTCAAAGTAGAAGCTGATATTCTAAAGATTCTAAATAAGGGGAACACTAAACTGTGCAAAATATATATCAGAATATAATTTTATCAGAGCACTCCATTTAGTAATCCAATATTAAAACAAATTCCAAAGGCCTATTTGCTTACACAGCTGAAAATTTCTCAGTTCTACCTTTAAAAGTGGTCAAAAGTGCTTAGGAGAAAGTTTTTTGGGTTTTTTTTGTTTGTTTGTTTTTTTGTTTTTGTTTGTTTGTTTGCTTTTTAAACATCCTCTGCTGCCTTTGTATCCAAATATATGCATAGTTATTTGGCTATACCCTCCTCCTTTTCCACAATTACAATAAGTGACAACATTCCTGCCAGCATTTTTGATTTTATCACAGATATTCTTGTGATGTTGGCAAGATTTGGGTGCAATGATGTCACTGAAAACGCTTAACATAGGACCTAGGCAAGATGAAATGCTATTTTGAAGAATCCTCCATAACAAATTTTTAGACAATAGAATCAGGACACTTTTGGAAACATCTATGGTAGATTTTTGCAGAGTGGCTAGAATTTCTATTAACTTAAAAGTCACTTTCTTCTCTGCAGCTCTTGGCAACAGGATTATTTCTGTACTTGCAAATACAGATAAGCTTTGATGGCAAACGAATTTGCATTTCACTTTCTGCTTTTATGTACAAATTTGTTATTTACTTTACAATTCAGTTTTAAAACACTGCAGTTTCTTCACTTATTTAAATATTTACTCTTTTTAGAACAACTAATATCTTTAACGTATGAACTGTGAACTAGAGCCCTAGAGATTCCACTAGTTTGCAAAGCTGAATTTTCAATGATTAAACAGTGACAAACACTAAAATGTAAACAGAAAATAAAATAGTTCATAAACTTACAATTGGTAAAGAATAGTAGTCTTTCCAGCATTATCAAGTCCCACTATGATTACTTTATGTTCTGCATAAACACAAAAAGACAAAAATAATTTAGTGGAAACCGCAGTACTTGTAATTCTGGTTAATCACTGTTCCTTACTGAAGAAGGCAATTGCTTGTTTGTCTTACTCCAATAGCTTACAAAGAATACTGGTGACTTCAGGACAGGAAAAAAAAAAAAAAAAACAAAAACACAAAAATCCACAAAACCTCATCTTCTCTTGAGACTACATTCCTAGGAAAAGTCAGTTCTGGAAGTCTTCATAAAGAAATGTTTACTAACAAGATTACTTCATTTAAAAAAAAAAATAAATCTAGTTTTAGAAAGAGAAGTACAATAAAAAAATAACTCATAGCAGCGTATCATCTCAAGAACACCATCTAACATCCAAAGACCGCACAAGATACTAACCTAATGTACTAGGCTTAATAACAACCATTTGTTAAGGGACCACTATCATTTGCACAATAAAAACAGAGAGGAAACTGTATTTTGCATACATCACAAATTCCAGCATTGCCATTTCTGAACTGAAAAGTCAGAGTGACAAAGTGGTCAAGGTTGGAAGACACTTTTGGAGGTCATCGGATCCATACCTCTGCTCAACCAGGGTCACCTGGAGCAACTTGCCTGGCATAGTGTCCAGATGGCTTCTGAGTATCTGCAAGGGTGGAGACTTCACAACCTCCCTATGCTTCCTGTGTCAGTGCTCAGTCACCTGCTTACAGTAAAAAACTGCTTCCTTCCATGTTCAGAGGGAACCTCTTGTTGTGCCCACTGCCCCCAGTCCTCTCACTTGGCACCAAAAGGAGCCTGGCTCTGTCCTCTTTGCACCCTCCTTCCAGATATTTAAACACATTAGCTTGGAGAAGGCTCAGAGGGGATCTTGTTAAACAGTCTCAGCTCTCTCAGCCTTTTCTCATGCAAGATGCTCCAGTCCCTTTCAACACCATTATGGCCCATTGCTGGACTCTCTCCAGTATGTCCATGTCTTTGTTGCACTGAGGAGCCCGGAACTGAACACACTACTCCAAGTGAGGACTCACCAGTGCCGAGTAGAAAGGAAAGATCATCCTCCTCAACCTGCAGGGAAGTTATAGAATAATGATCTTTCGAATGGTGTAATGCTACTTCAATGCTATTTTTGCAGATACGGGGTCAATAAAAACAAAACCAAAAAAACAAAAGAAAAAATCCAGAACTTATATGCTTGTCTGTAGTTAATCCTTCTTAGAATTTCAAATACAACAGCACAGCCAATCAGAACGGTGATTCTTTTGATATGTGTGTGAAGTTAGAAGATACTGATCCACTTACTGACAAAAAAGCTAATCACTTGAGCAGAGAATTTACAAATGGATACTAGAAGTAAAACTTGCATAAAACATCTGTGAACAGAATCACTTTTGAAGGGGTAATACTTAAAATTCTAGGGCACTTAATCCAAAGCAAAACAGAGCACACAACCTAGAGATTCCCTCTAAACTACCACATTAAATTTACAAAGCATAAGAAATAACTAGAAGGTCAGAAGATTTATTATAAATATCAAGTTGGTGTGTTTCTCCCTGCAAATGGGTGAATTTAAGGAAGAATTAAAGTGGTGTTTGTTTTTTTTAAATATGCTTATATATAACAGTAATTATTTCATACAGAAAGTGATTTTAATAAAACAATCTCTTGCTTGCAACTTTTAGGAAGTTTTGCTATGCAATACAGCTTTTAAAAAATGTTGAAAGCTATTTCCTTTTATCGGCCCCCCTATTACTGTATCCTGCCATCACACCCTAAGGAAAGAACTTTTCCTAGTCTTAAATCCAGTAATACTTTCAGCCCCATAAGCACGGCACCAGTAACTAATTACTCTTCCCATAATGTAAATGGTATGAAAACCACTCAGCTTTCAACTCTAAGAAACGATGCCACATAGCTAGACTGTGCTATCTCTTCTTCAAATTCATTTAAGTTTAAAGGGTTTTCAAAGTTCAAACACAGAAATACCCTTCTGTTGCTCCCAAAACAGCCAACTATTGCCCAGAATATAATTCTACTTTTGCCACATTCTGTTTTGTTATTTTTAAGAAGGAAAAGACAAGGTTTTCCAGTAAGGCATTACATTGTTCTTTCCCATCTTCATATCAGGATACAGCCTTACTGAGGAATGAATAAGAAAAGAGTTGGGTGAAAGAATATCATGCTACTTAAAATAATGAAAAAAAAAAACAAAACAAACCTCCATTGAGATGACTGTTTTTGAAAGTCACTGAATGGTTGAACACTAATTGGGGAAAAGAGGCACAGCTTATCTGTATTACTCCATAGTCAAATGGCATTTTATACAGTAACTGAATAAGCACAAAACAAGAAACAGTCACACAAGTGTTAACTAATGTTGATTTGGGGAAGCAAATAATACAATGAAAGCATCAGTACCTCGTACAAATAGCAGTTTCCACCTTTTATTAATGCCACACAATATTAATTTAACCATTACATTTTTCACCATGAGCCAGTCTAGGTTTGCCCAAATGGACTAATCATAATCAAAATGAACTGAACCAATTAGAACAGTTTCTGCTATATGAACAGTGAGCTGAAACAGAACAACAGATTCAACTGCCTTGTGAGAACTCACAGATGCCACCCAAGTCATAGTGCTATAACAGCTGAACACAAAGAGCAAGAAATGCTGCTGGAAGAGGTCAATAAATAACATTAGTCAGCAGACACTTATTGATGAGTATCTTTTGAAATAGATTAGGTCAAGTCTCTTGACTTTCCTTGTAGTAGCTCATCCTTACCACTGGAAAGGATGGTAAAAGAATCAAATTGCAAGAATAGTAAAGAAGATGTATAGATTAATAAAACACCATTCAATGCTGTAGAGGGTATAAGGTACATTCATTGTAAGGTTTTCCTGCCAGACAGAAGTCACTCAGAATGAACTCAATTCTCTACATGATGCATTTACTCTAACTACACTGAACCCTGAGACACAAAAATGAATGGAGCTTATTTTAAGATGTCAGTTTTTTTTAAGATGTGCATTTTTCAGAAAGTTAGCAACATATCTTCTTCCTGTGAATTAACATTATTAGCTCACCAGTAAACATTTAATTAGCATTGTCCAGACTTTTTTGATCAAATATTTTCCAGATTTGGCATTTTCAGATCCCCTATCATTCACATTTATGTACAGCAAAACTGCAGTGCATCACCACTACTCGAGTGAAATGAAAACAAATTGCTGTTCTGTATTTTCTGGCACTTAAGCACATCTCCTCCCCTATACTCTACTCCATGAAGAAGGATGGCACTTTGTAAATCTCTGCTTTGTTTCATCTTCCATTTTGCCAGTATCAAGTGCTTCAGACTATCAGAACAACCCACACTAGCCACAGGGAACTGATGATATGCTCCACAGGTACTGAGAGCCTATTTACATCTGTGGAATATTCCCTACAGATAGTCACAATTGTTGCGTGAGCTACTGTGCAAGTCTGCTTAATGAAAGCACGTTTCATGGGACACCCTGTGAGTTCTCAAAAAAATTGAATAGATTTAACTAGAAGAGCAACCAAAACCATCTCAATAATTACTAGAAACTACTCAATTTCTAGAGCACAAATCTTGTGAGGAGTAGCTGAGGGTACTGAGGTTATTTAGTCTGAGGAAAAGGCAGTTTAGAGGAAACCTTATCACGCTCTACAACTACCTGAAAGGAGGTTGTAGAGAGGTGGGTGCTGGTCCCTTCTTCCAAGTAACTAGTGATAGGACAAGAGGAAATGGCCTCAAGTTGTGCCAGGGGTGGTTTAGGCTGGATACAAGGAGAAATTGCTTCACTGAAAGGCTTGTCAAGCACCAGAACAGGCTGCCCAGGGGTTGAATCACCATCCCTAGACCTGTTTAAAAGTCGTGTAGATATTGGGATTGGGACACAGTTTAGCAGAGTACTTGGCAGTGCTGGGTTAACAGTTGGACTCGATGATCTTAAAGGTCTCTTCCAACCTACATGATTCTATGACTGCTACCCTTTATTATTAACAATATTATTTAGAGGAAAGCAGTGATGTAATCAAATAATTTCCCACTAGATGGGTCAAAAAATAACGTTTGAAGAGATTTTTCTAGAGTGGAATTTCAATTTTGCCAATGATAAGAAACTCACTTTCTTCTCTATGGTCACCACAAGAAGAGGGGGCAAAACCCCACAAACAAATGAAACCAAAAAGAACCCTAGCAACAAAACAAGATCAGAACACAACCCAGAAGCCTCTCATTGGGGTAAAAGCCTAACGGTGGGTATTTCATGGTAGCGCCTCATCTTATCTTAACTGCGATACTCATTTTTATTAAAATTTGAAATATATGAAGAAAACCTTTCCTTTCAGGAATTCATATACAGGAACAAAGATAACATGTTTCCCACTAGTAAAATGGAATCAATGTAATCTAATGCTGTCATGTACTAAAAAAAGGAAACAAAAAAAAAAAAATCACTAAAACAAGGAATTGTATCCCTTCCTTCCTGAATATTGATATCACAATGCATCAATTTGACCAATGCTAAAAGCTAGCAGAAGTTATCTCCTCATCAGTTTTCTGATGACAACTCTTTGGAGTCCTTCATGAGTCACAGTGTTTGATGAAAACCAAGACAGTACTAAGTCTTCTGGAGAATATGGAGAACACTGAATCTTACCATATGGATATTCCAGTTCAAAAAATAAGAATCTTCAAATCAACAACAAAAAAATTTATAAGATTCTCTTAAAAGACTGCAGGAACAATGTGGTGGGGTAGTGTATGCATGGGAAAGATAAATGGTCTAGATCCCACTCCCATCCCATTAAAAGACAGTTTGATACATAGACATTAATACATAGACAGATGAAGATTTTGCTCTGGTATTTACAGAATTAAAAGGGGTTATGTGCCCTTAAAGTGACAAGGCTATTAAAGGGACACCAGGTGTACCTGCCTTCAAAACTCAAAATATTGCATTTGCAACAGTGTTGCACAAAAAAGGTCAACTACATTTTTAGCAACTTTAGAGCGATAATGAAGCCTGCATTTGGAAACCTGATGAGAGAACAGTAACATCTGTTTGCTGGCTCCAAACTCAAAGAAAAACAATACAAATGATAAGCTCCTTGACTGTTTTATTTTGTAACCAGAGAAGGCCAAGTAAGCAAAAGTCATTGAAACAAATAAATTAACAGGTAAAACATAACTTTCCGGGTTTATGATAACTGAGCTAAAGGTGGTAGCAGACAAATTTTGAGCTCTGAATTAGAGCGTGAGACCTTCCTTGTGGAGCTAGGCGCACTATGAAGGGGAGAACCTAAGAGTGTCCCCTTACGACCTTTTAATTCCTATCTTGAGAAGTGATTTTCTTGAGTCGCTAACGGTATTTAACCAGCACCCTTGACAAAACACAAACATACCTTTACCTCAGAGGCCTCAACAAAAGTTTGGTGGTGTGTTTTTCTTGACATGCAAGGTAAAAATAGCGTGATTTTAATAGCAGGCTCCGGCTCAACAGTCTCGTAAAGACAAAAAAGACCTTCATCGCTCATCAATGCCTCGGCCGGTACAACGAGGAGAAAACACGACTGGCAGGCGGCAGCACCCAGACCGGGCAGAGCGTCGCCTGAAGGGCTGCCCGGGGCAAACTAAGCGTTCAGGGCAGCCGGGAAGGGAGGGCAAGAGGGGGGCACCACCTCAGCGGCAAAACAAAGCGCCTCCGCGCATGAGGCGCCGCACAAAGCCCAGCTCCTGCCCGGGCGCGCCCTCAGGAGAAGCCCGTCCGCCA